TGGGCGGGCCTGGGCGGCCGCCCCGGGTTGCGGTCCGCTGGAGGAAGGGCACGGAGATTGGGCCGCCGGGTTGGTCCCCGCGGTCGTGTCTTCTCTTGCGAGTCCCGGGTGAATCGGTGGGCGCCTGGGAAGGTGGCGGGCATGTGCGCGGCGGTGGGAGTCTGTTCGCTGCAGGCGTTTTGAAGAGTTTACGAACGGCTGAGGCATTACCGTTTGCATGCCTGCTTTTGGGGAAGGTTAGATTTGCTTAAACAGTTAACTATATGTCCATATTTTTAGTGTGTTTTGCAGACGGTAATAACGTCTAAATCTGGGCATCTTTTCCCAGATGGTAGCAACGTTGTTTCCAAGTCTTGGTATTCAGTATCAAAGTAATCCTGCTAAGTAACAGTGCTGCGTTTTTGACAGTAAGGTGGTATACTTTGAATTAAAGTCTTTTCTCATACTTGCTGAGCAGAATTTGTTGAACGTAAAATGCAATATGAACAAAAAACTACACAGAAAATTTAAATACATGAAGACATTGGAAAAGGAAGAAAACCTGATACTATTTTCTCAGATATTCATGTTGTGCAGGATTGTCTCCTACTGGACTTGTGCTGTTGAATTCACTCAGTGAATTTTTCAGCATATCATTGTGACCAGAAGAGGTACTGCTAAGTAATGTGAATGGGAGATGGTGGAGATGTAGCCACAGCACATATCTCATGACCTCTCTGTAGTTTCAAATTGTGAACTACATTCTGAAGTTGCTGGGCATGGATATTCTTTCTACTGCCTTCCGGTGAAACAGAGATAATTGGCAAATTTGCCTGAATGCTCATATGTGTGTTTAAATTGATCTTTGTAGCTCTGCAATTGAGGGAGGAGGAAGAGTAAACTCATTAAGTGTGTCTTGTTAAATCTCTCATCACTAGAGGAAGAACTTCTTAAATTGTATAGAAACTTACTGCAGGAAAGGAAGTCTAATTCTAACCCGTAATTTTCAAGGGCTGTGTGAGGAAGGCGTGAGTAACTTGTGCAGAGTCATAGCATTGGTAATGATTATCTTTCTCTGCTTTGGAGTCTCAGGGGTTACAGTAGTCAGGGTTCAGTGGGTAAGCAAACTGCTGTGCATTATTTTTCTTATTTAAATTTTGCAGAAAGGTATGTTACCTTCATTTGTTCTCTGTACCTTCAGCAGAGAAGACATTTTAGAATTTAGAAGAGTATCATGATTTCCCTATTTTTACGCTTGGAAAGCTTGGAATATGAAGGATTACAGTGTGATATGATACATTGGGATCTTTTGGGGGGTTGGTGGTGGAGCAAGGAAGAAAAACCCAAACCAAACACCACCAAGGCCCACACATTTATTGTCTGGGGATGAGTAGCTTTTTCCAGTTAGTGCTGTAACTATTGAGTATGGATCATGATGAAGAAATAAGGGTACTGCTTGCATCGGTTACAATCTATTAACTATTAAACCTCTACAACCCTCCTAAATAAGAACCACTGAATAGATTTGATAGGCAGTAGACTTTCTTGAGTTACGTGCTCTGTTATTTTAGGCTGTATTGGGATACATATTTGAGTCTTGAGACAGCAAAAGATTTCATAAAGGCAGACTGCAACTACTTCTGATCAGCTTGGGCATAGTGTTTGCCAATGAGCAAGGAAAACCAAAACTAAGTCATTTCGGGCCTACCATTGCTGAAAAATAAGTGGAAAGCTTTAAATACTGCATACTGGGTTGGAATGCTGGGATATAATTTTCCTCTTAACTTTTTCATTCTTTCTAGGTCATCCATAGTGTTTATTCAGCACAATTCAAGAGCTGGAGTATAAAACACCTGTTGTAATTCACTGCCTCAAATAAGTACTGTTTCTGTCATGACTTTGAACTGATTATCATATATGTTTAGTCTTAACAGGGGTTTTGCTGAAATACACTGTATGAGTGGCCACTCAAATTTTGTATCTTGTGTGTGCATCATACCTCCAAGTGACCTCTATCCTTGTGGGCTGATTGCAACTGGTGGCAATGATCATAATATTTGCATTTTCACAGTTGACAGCCCAGCTCCTCTTTACATCCTTAAGGGTCATAAGAACACAGGTATGTAGTCATTTTATTTTGGACTTTGTTGCATAAAAGTTAACGTGACTTGTTAGAGAGGAAATTAAGTTGAAGTTATACAACTCAATTTTGATTTCTTTGATATTTAACGTAGCAAACTATTTAATTATGGCCTTTGCAAATAGGATTTAATAATCTCAATTAATGCAGTGACAGTTTGTTGCAGGGACTTCCAAGTTTACACGGATGAATGCTTGAGCTTTTACTGTATATATGAACACATGGCAATTTACAGAATGATTACCTTTTTGCCAAGAGTTGCATTTTTAAGAAGCAGTTAATTTAGTTCTCCATGTATTAAGCTGAATTGTTATGTTAAGGTTGACGGATGTAGAAAAACTCAGCTTCCTAAATAAACTAACTTCCACTGCCCATTTTGTCACCTAGGTGGGGATCTAATATTAATTGGTGCTTTAAATACACAGTAAATACTAAAAACTCACTGTAGAAATTTAATCTCTCTTTAGTCACGTCAGTGCAATATGTGACATATTAAACCAACTTTGTATACCTTTTCTTGAGCTATTGTTGTGGTTTAACCCCAGCCAGCAACTAAGCACTGCAC